GAATATTATGAACTGTATGCCCAGAAGCAAGATTCACAAGCACAACTAAAAGGTCTACGCAAGAATGTGCAATCCGCTCGTGATATTATGCAACTTGAAGAGCTCAAATGTCGTAAACGTGTCTTGCGACGGATGGGATTTGCCAGTAGCGACGACGTTGTGGAAATGAAAGGACGGGTGGCTTGTGAAATAAGCTCAGGGGACGAGCTTTTGCTCACAGAGATGATCTTTGAAGGGATTTTCAATGCACTCTCGCCCGAACAGTCTGCAGCGCTTCTCAGTTGCTTCGTTTTTACAGAGAAGGCAAGACCAGAATCACTTCATAACCATCGAATTACTCATGTTCTTTACAGAGTGAGAAACAGATCAAGATGACTGCAGAGTTGGCAGGTCCTTTGGCTTCGATGCAGAATATAGCACGTAGGATCGCTCAAATATCCAAGGAATCAAAGTTGGAGCTCGTAGAAGACCAATATGTAGCTCAATTCAAGGTCGAATTGATGGATGCAGTGCTGCAGTGGTGTAGAGGAGCAAAGTTCTCCGAGATATGCAAGGCAAGTATCATCTAGTTCAACAAGGTAAAGAGCTAACTCTACACAGCTGACTGATCAGTATGAGGGGACAATCATTAGAACATTTCGTCGCCTCCAAGAGCTGCTTCGACAAATGACCGCCGCCGCGAAAGCCATAGGGAATAATGAGCTAGAAAAGAAGTTTATTGATGCGCTCGCCCTTCTCGAGCGCCAGAACTCTGTAATATTCTGTTCCTCGCTGTATCTATGATATACCAGACCATAGCGTATAATTTGAAATGGGTTGAACGTAATTAAGTGCAGAGCAGCGCGCCCGTTACCATTACCTTGAGAAATGGAAAAGTGATCTAAGACTATCTTAATGTATGGTGTTCAAAACCGCCAGGTCAAACCTTCAAAGTCAATCCCGTACCTGCTTACGATGTCCAAGAAGTACATGATCTGAATTTTTCAATTGTTTCTAGGCGAAATGCATGGTCAAACTCCTTCGACTTCCACCTTATCCTCTAGACTCGTTTTTAATACGAGTATTGTCGCTGATGATATAATACTCGACATGTATTGGCTCACCATGAGGTGCATGATCTACCATTGTATATAGGATATAGAAAATGACTTATCAGTTTGAATATCGTTGTTTTTTGCTTACACCAGCAACAATTTCAAGTTCTGACAGACGAACCGAGGGACACTGTCTGGCTCATGTATACACTAACTATCACTCATCAAACGATATGATATGGTCATATAT